AAAAGGGAAAAGAAAGTGCTGGACTCAGTTTGATAAGATTTGAAAGGGAGGAGGCCCGAGCCCCTAGACTAGTGGCTTTTCCAGAAGGCCTCACCCTTCTAGTTAGCAAACAGAATCTACCACCAGTGGCATTTCTTCTGGGATTTTGTCTGTGAAGACTAGTGAGAGGGAAGTTGAGGCATGAGGCAGACCTGGGTTTGCCCCTGGGCTACGTCTGTGCTGGTGGGGCGACCCTCGACCCCCCCAAGCCCCCGTGTTCTTTGTGCTGCATGGGAGGAGTGAGGAGGGAAATAACATTCTGGATCCCAGCCACCACAACTCCATTCCTGGGGAGACACATTCTGATGATGAATCACCAAGGACCCCCCAAGGAGGAGAGTTTTCCTGGGGCACCGGAAACCCAGGATTCTACCCAGCGCACCCCAGAAACCCCAAGCCTGTGCCAAAGGTGGGTGCAAGTGGGAGGTAGAAGTGAGGGAATGGAGCGAGTACCTCTGGAAGCCTTCCTGGCTGAGTTAGCAGAGGAGGCCAGGTCTTACAGGAAGAATGATGGCTCGCCAGCCAAGAGAAAGGAGGAGGGGCATTCCAGGCAGGAGGAACAGCATATGTGAAGGCACAGAGTCAGAATGGGCCTGGCACTTTCAAAACCAGAGGAATGAAATGTCACCTGTGTCGTGTTTCTCAAAGTGTTGTCCTAGGACACAAAAGTGCACATGGCAGGCAGGAGCTGAGATGAAAGAGAGGAGACAGAACCGGGTCACAAAGAACCTTGAATGGCACGTCAAGGATCTAAACTTAGAGACCAACCAAAGCTAGTAATGGAAAACGGATCAGACCTCCCCCGCACAGAGCCCAGCACGGCGGGTTTAAAACCCATCAGAGAGTGCAGTGAGTGCACTTATCACGCTGGGCCGGGGCTGCTCTTGGGGGCTAATTGGCCAGCATGGCCTCACAGAGGCCCGCAATGAGCAGACTCTGAGCTGGTCCCTGCTCTTTGTTAGGGCTGCATTTGCTAGGTGATAACGCAGGTAAAGGTCAGAAGCCTCCCCAGGGGGCAGCGGGGAGTACTGCAACCCTGAGCCAATTCTCCAGAAGGTGCCTTTTGAAAGGCTATTAAGACAAAGATAAGCAGTGGGACATGTGCAGCTGTGACATCGTGGTTAGCCTACGGGATTGGGGGAGGAAGTGGCTGAAGGCTTTTAATGAATTTCATGTGATTTTCACACAATGAGAGGTGAGCAGTCAATTATCTAATCTTCATGGACAGTTGGATACGATCTACCGTGTATTTTGTTGTTTTTCAACTTTTTGTGTGTGAAAACGTTCACCATAAAATGCTGGGGAAAATAGGCCCATTTTCACATATCAATTCAGATACTAACCAGACCCATTGAATCCCAAGGGGAGTACCCATATATTTCCAAGGTGGGGAAACCACACACACACACACACACACACACACACACACACTCACTCACACTCCAGGTACCCTGTACTTCTCCTGTTATATAGACAACAGAAAATGTTGGCTGGCTGGATGGATGGCTGGCTGGCTGGCTGGATGGATGGCTGGATGGCTGGCTGGATGGATGGATGGATGTGTAGATGGATGGATGGTTGGGTGGCTGGCTGGCTGGCTGGCTGGCTAGCTGGATGGATGGATGGGTGGGTGGATGGATGGATCGATGGGTGGCTGGCTGGCTGGCTGGCTGGCTGGCTGGCCGGCTGGATGGCTGGATGGATGGGTGGATGATGGATGGGTGGGTGGGTGGGTGGGTGGATGGATGGATGGTTGGGTGGGTGGCTGGATGGCCGGCTGGCTGGCTGGATGGCTGGATGGGTGGGTGGATGGGTGGATGGGGGGTGGAGAGAGGTGGGCAAGATCCAGGCCCTGTGGGGAGGGCAAACACAGAGCCATATTAACACTGCAAGGCAGTAGGTGCCAAAGTATAACTCGGTGCAAAGTACAGGGGAGAATGCTTTTGCCTCCAGGCATTCAGGAAGGCTCCAGGGAGATGGAGGTGTTTGAGCAGGGCCTTGAAAGGAGAGTAGTCGAAGTGAACAGAGGGAAGAGCAGAGCTGCAGGTGAGGGAGACAGCAAAGGCAAAGAGTGAGAGGGTGTGATACGTTTGGGGGAAAAGCTGGGTTAACTGAATGGCAGAGTTAGAGGACAAGTATAGAAGTGTTTGGTGAGATCCAGCTGGAAGGACGGGGTGAAGTCTGATCCGAGCACAGGCATTAAGGCAGGCTGAAGGAGTGCGAGCTGAGTGTGAATCCAGACTCTCTGACCACTAACTAGGCCTGTGACATCACTGGGCCTCTCTGAGCCTCACTCTTCCAGGCACTAGATACAGCAGTGATTTCCCTCACTTGTGGGTTATTGTGAGGATGAGATGATGTTTCATTTAATATGCGATCTCAGCATGCCCAGAGCGATCCTGCAGTGAGGATGCACCATGATCTCTCAAGCCATCCCCTGCTGCTGGACACTCTGGTGGGTTCCTGCTTTTTGCTGCGTGCAAACCTGCTGTCACAGACGTCCTTCACACATTTAGCCCGACAGAGGCTATATTGATTGCCACAGCATAGGTTCTCAAAAGAGGGAGTGAGGCCTAAGTGACCGAGAGGGGTGTCCTTATACAATAAAGGAATTAGGGAAACCGAGCTGCTCCGTAATGTGGAGAGCGTGTACACAGAGAAGCACAGGGAAAGAAGGGAAGGCCCCCATCACACCAAACCATCAGCAGCAGGCACCTTCCAGGCAGGAGGGCCTGGACGTGTGACCACACAAAGAGTCGGCCTCTTCTGTATCCCTCGGGATACTGGGTTTACTGTAATAAGCTTGTCATTGCTTCGGAAGTTTGAAAGGAAAGTTCGAGAAAGTGTTTTTATGTTGTCTGGGATGATGAAAACAGTGACAGTGATCTTGCGGTGCTGTGGCTCTGGGGTGGTCACTCTACCCACAGGCTATAGGGTGGGTGAAGCTCCATTCGAAAGCTCCTGCCTTCACGGAAGGTCACCAGGAACTCTGGGACCTGGGCTGTAAAAGAGAAACACGACAGAAGTGATTCTTCTTTGAAACTCCATGAGAAAAGGGACCAGCACTGCTCTGTTCATCATTGTGCCCCCAGGACCTAGAACAGCGTTGGCCGCGTTGTAAGCTCTGAAAGAAATACGGGCCGAAAAGAACAGAGGGAAGGAAGAGAAGGAAAGAAGAAGGGAGGGGAGGATGGATTTCAAATTATGTGAAAGGCTGCTTCGTTCCGATTTGAAAACCCCAAACATTAGCTAAAACGTTGGTCCGGGGCCAAAATACCTACACTGGGCTGTTAAGAAACTCAGAAAAAAAAATTGTTATCAGAAATAGGGATTCTCAAAAAAGATAGCCTTGCTGCTATCTTGTCCACAGTTAATTAAATGTACCAGTGAGAACCATGCTGCTTGCGTTATTTATGTAATGAAAAGATCTTCTAAAAATAATACCCAGAGGCCCGGCTCGCAAAGCACGGTGGCTGAACCAGCTGGAGCGGCAGAAGGTGACCAGGAGCCGTGATCCCTGCACCAACACAGTGGTTACGATTAAATGATGCTTCTCATATTCAGGTTGCAAAACCGCTCCAGGCCAGAGCCTAGGAGAGGCTTAATTCATGTCACATGGCGATTAGCTTGCTTCTGAGAGGGATTCCACTGTCATCCTGATTTCTGCAGGCTCCCAGATCCCAGTACATTGCCTGCTAGCTGTTCTCTGAAAAACCAGGATCGGCTGGCATGAAAGGGAATCGGCAGGGCCTTCACTTGTTTTTCATGGATTGGAATCACAGAATATCACCAGTAGGAGGGGATCTCTGGGGTTTAACCAAGACATACTGTGTGTGCAGCCTTTCTGTTAAAGTGAGGTTTGCATTGGGACAGGTGGAAGGAAGGTAGGAAGATGGGAGGGAGGAAGGAGCTGGAAACCACCAAAATACCCCTGATGAAGGCATAATAGGACCAACTGTGGCCAGCCACCCCGTGGGCTGCTAGGCAGCCATCAGAGAGACTGAGTCAGTTCTGCGCCGGCTGACCGACCACATGTGCAGCCGGATAAGAAAAGATTGAGAGCGATGTTTGGAGCAGGTGTGGGCAGGGCCTGCCACTGGCAGACTGTGCCAGCAGACTCAATCTGGCCCTCTGCCTGGTTTTGCACAGCCCATGAGCTAAGAATGGCTTTTACATTTTTAAAGCGTTTGGAAATAGTTTTAAGGAGTTGGAAAAAATCAAAAGAAGAGTCCTATTTTGTGACACGTGAAAGCTATGCGAAATTCAAATGCCAGTGCCCATAGTAAAGTCTCATGGGAGCACAGACACACTCATTCATTTGCACATTGTCCGTGTAGGTGCTTTCGGGCTACAGGGACAGAGGTGAGTCATTCCAGCAGAGACCTTGGGGGATGCAAAGCAGAAAGTACTTACTACCTGGCTCTCTGCTGAGAAAGTTGATCAGCTCCTGCTTTATGGTACGATGACGTTTTGTGAAACCAACAGTGTCAGACATTGCTCTCAGTGCCTCATCAGAGCAAAGCCATTACATTTGCTCATTTATTCACTCATTTGATCATTTATCCATCAGATGCTTACTGCCTACCTGTGGGGTCAGGGACCGGGAACCGGCAGTGAACAAGTAGACGCAGCCCCTGTTCTTGTGGTGTTTAGAGTCTGTGTCTAGTTCTTTCTTTCTCCCGTATAAATAGTCCTACCCCTCCAACCGTATCTCACAGGGTGACACAGTGGTCCAGCCCCTTGCATCCTGCCTCCCTTCCTCCTCCCGCTGTGCATCCTGGTTGCCTCAGTCCCTCCTAAAGAGAGGCATCCAGATTGACCCTATGTCTCCTGGTGTCTCCCAGGGAGGTCAAGGTGTAGAAGGTCTAGAAGGATTCATCTCGCATCGGTCATGCTCTTGGTCTGATTTCAAAGTGTTCAACACTGGATGCTTGCGTTTTCAGCTCCTGTTTGCCAGTGGTCCTAAGAGGCAGATGCAGCAGTCCCTGACCCCCATCACATGGGTGGGAGCCTCCACCAGCTATGGAGAAGGATGCGGCCACATCTCCACATGATCCCTCCCGAATAAAACGAAAGCCACCTCCAGATACATGCTCCAGTGCCTCACTCTCTATGCAAAACCTGGAGAGTAGAGACCTGCTCCAGTCCCTGGAGGAAGCTGGCTCAGCAGGGGGTGATTTGAGGACTGGAATTTTAACCAGGAGCTTTCTCCTTTTGCTCTTCTTCATTCATACTCATGCTCGATACCTCCCAGGAGACTGCTTTATTTATTTCTAGGAAAACGGCACTGGGCAGTCATTGTCACCTCCCCACATTTGGACATTTTCTTTTGGCTCCATTGGGAGCCTAGAGCCCAGTGGTTGACATAATTGACACACTGGGAAGCTGGGCAAGAAGTGGCCAGGGTCCGCCGGCAAAGGACGGAGCCGTAGGGTCCCAGGATGGTACCTAATGGCACAGCCTCTTCATTTTGTCTGGACTCTCCCCCATGCAAGATCACTGTCAGCGTGGTCCTCACTGTCCTCATCCTCATCACCATTGCCGGCAACGTGGTGGTCTGCCTGGCTGTGGGCCTGACCCGCCGGCTCCGCAGTCTGACCAACTGCTTCATTGTGTCTTTGGCTATCACCGATCTGCTCCTCGGCCTCCTGGTGCTGCCCTTCTCGGCCTTCTACCAGCTATCCTGCAAGTGGAGCTTCGGCAAGGTCTTCTGCAACATCTATACCAGCTTGGATGTGATGCTCTGCACGGCCTCCATCCTCAACCTCTTCATGATCAGCCTCGACCGGTACTGCGCTGTCACAGACCCCCTGCGCTACCCCGTGCTGGTCACCCCAGTCCGGGTGGCTGTCTCCCTTGTCTTAATTTGGGTCATCTCCATCACCCTGTCCTTCCTGTCTATCCATCTGGGGTGGAACAGCGGGAGTAAGAACAGCAGTTTCAATCACACCATCCCCAAGTGCAAAGTGCAGGTCAACTTGGTGTACGGCTTGGTGGATGGGCTGGTCACCTTCTACCTGCCACTGCTGGTCATGTGCATCACCTACTACCGCATCTTCAAGATTGCCCGGGATCAGGCCAAGAGGATCCATCACATGGGCTCCTGGAAGGCGGCTACCATCGGGGAGCACAAAGCCACAGTGACACTGGCCGCCGTGATGGGAGCCTTCATCATTTGCTGGTTCCCCTACTTTACCGTGTTTGTTTACCGGGGGCTGGTAGGGGATGATGACATCAACGAGGCCATTGAAGCTGTTGTTCTGTGGCTGGGCTATGCCAACTCGGCCCTGAACCCTATCCTGTACGCCACGCTGAACAGAGACTTCCGCACAGCATACCAGCAGCTCTTCCGCTGCGGGCCCACCAGCCACAGTGCCCAGGAGACTACTCGGAGGGCTGGCAGCTCTCAGCTGACCAGGAACCAAAGCCGAGAACCCATGCAGCAGGAAGAGAAGCCCCTGAAGCTGCAGGTGTGGAGTGGGACAGAGGTCACAGCCCCGAGGGGAGCCTCAGACAGGTAACCGCCCTGAGTGTGTGTGTTGTGCGGGACAAGCGCCCCGGGGAGGGGGATCCCAGTAATGGCGACCGTGAAGGTGGCAGTCGTTCCCCAGGTGCTGGTCGAACATTTTGTGCTGGGAAGTCTTCATGAGCACTTTGCCAACCTCATGTTGTTCCATCCTCCCAACGGCCCCCCGAGGTAGACGCTTTGACTTCCATTTTTAAAGGACCACATTAAATCTCAGAGCGCGTGACCAGGGCCACACAGCTGGGACCTGGACAGAGATCTCTGACTCCAGAACTTGTGGGCCCTTTATTCTAGCTACGTTGTCCTTACAATCGGGAATCCCAAGTTCGAGGCCCAACTCTGCCATTTGGTTAGTCATGTGAGGTGTCCACCCAAGCTCTCCAGGACAGCCCTCAAATGGCCAGGCACTGATGCTGCCGCCGGGGGAGTAACCGCAAACCCAGCTCGGTCCACGTTCATTGAGCCCCTCTGATGCACCCGCTCTTATGCTAGGGGTGCTCGGGTCAGAGGAGAAAGAGGACTGGCCAAATTGGGAAGGCAGAGCCTTGCAGGTCAGGCTAGGGGCTTGGACCTTGTACCATTGGTCTCAGGGGAAGATGGAAGGATTAGAAGCAAGGGTGGAGGGAAGCCAGGCAGCTCTGTGCTTTGGAAAGAGAGCTTTGGTTCCCGGAAAGACGTGGACCAGAAGGATGAGATGGGGCCATCGGTGAAGGGGGATGTGCACTGGCCCATGAGAGAAGAGAAAGGAATAGAGCAAAATCTAGGAGGCTGTTAAAAAAAAAAAAAAATAGGCTTGGAGAGCATTGGATGTTTGGGGTACAGGAGATGCGAGAGAGAGGATGCCCCAGGATTCTACCCCCAAGAGGTATCCAGGCTGAAAAAATAAACAGGATCAGAATGAGATGTAGATACATGCACTGATGGCAAAGTCAATGCCGGGTATTGAGGGAAACCCCACTAGAGACCTGAGTGGCGCTGAGGAAGCTCACCCACAGCATGGAGAATACGTTGACCGGTCTGTGGGCACTCTAGCTGCGGAGGGGGCTGAGTGAAAGGCGCTGGTAGAACGCCTGGCACGTGGAAGTGCTCAACAAATGTTGCTTTCCTTACTCTTCCCACAGACCATGCCTTTGCCTCCCAGAATGCAGGTCTGTGTGACCAACCCACCCCTCCCCCCCATCCATCTGTCTGTCCTCCCGTCCGTCCGTCTGTCCATTCATTTGCAAACCTTTATCAACTTCCCACCACATGCTGGGAACTGTGCTGGGCCCCGAGGATGCAGAATGACATTTTGGGGATTTGTTCTGATGCACAGGCATGGAAAGTCAACTGCATAGCCCCGCTCTCAGCTCTGTTCTCCCTCCCTCCTTGGTGTGAGCAAGTCCCTGCCCTTCTTGGGCTTCTGTTTCCTCATCTCGTAGGGGGTGGGGTCTGTCCTCATGCAGCCTGCCCTGCTCACCTCCCAGGGTTGCCTGATGCCCACGTGAGTCAAGAGATGTGAACAGGCTCTACAGCCCCAATGGGACACTTGTCTCCTCTCAATAATTGAGCATCAGACTCGAGAAAAGCTTGGGCGGATGCCGCAGCCCCACACCTTCTGGGTTCTGGTCCCTGTGGAGCGTTGTGGGAGCAAAACTGCCCAGCCAGACCCCTGGGCCTCATGTCCCCTCTGGTCCTTGCAGCAGCCAGGTGTGGAGTGTCCTGCCATAGACTTGGGTCCCGGGCCCTCCACCCCTCCACTGCCAGTCTTCTGGAACAAGCCTCATTGCTCCTGCCTCCAGCTCCTAACCTTGAGACTCTCCCTCTCAAATCCATCTTCCAAACCACCGAACAATGTCTCTCCAAAATGGAGATCTGGAGCCTTCCACATCCGGCCCTGATGGGTAAGGCCCCCTCTGACCGTGTCCTTCCCCATTCCCTCCCCCATTCAGGAAGCAGCCTCGAGCACAAAGCTAAGTTAGATCACGAAGCAAACAAAGAACAAAGCACAGGGGTGCCTGGGTGGCTCAGATGGTTAAGCCTCTGCCTTTGGCTCAGGTCATGATCCCAGGGTCCTGGGATCAAACCCCGCATCGGGCTCCCTGCTCCGCGGGGTGTCTGCTTCTCCCCCTCCTTCCTGCTCGAGCTCTCTCTCACTATCTCTGTCTCTCTCAAATAAATAAATAAAATATTAAAAAAAACAAAGAACAAAGCACAGAGAGTAGACCCCGTAGAAGGCTGTTGACACGATTCAGTCTAGTCATGCATGCCACTTCCCGCTGCTCTTACCTGTGTGACCCCCTGGTGAAGAGGCTGCCTTCATCCCTAGTCCGTAGGGAACTGTATTCAATAAGCACTTAGCAACAACAGCTGACGCTACTCGGGCACCCACTAGGTGCCTGCTGTACACGTTGGCCATTGTTTCCATGTATAATCATTCTGTGGGCATCCTATCCCCATCCTTGGGCTGGGTGCTAAGGGTGCAAAGGGAAATAAAGCAAGCCCCCCACCCCAGGTCTCATCACCTGTCATTGCTCATGGTCTAGTTTAAGAGTAGATGGGCAGCAGCTTGGTGCAGCACGTGCCAAGGACTGAAACCCAGTGTGCTGGGCACCCAGAGGAGGCGGTTCATGGCCCAGGGAGCCCATCCCAGGGAGCAAACCTCCAAGCTGAGCCTTAAATGCAGACGGGAAAACACCCTATTCATCCAGGGTGGTACTGGACCCTTTGGACTTATGACCTCATTCCACTTTCCCCACAACCCTATGCTTGTTTAAGCTCCACTTCACAGATGGGAAAACTGAGGCTCAGAAAAGATAAGTAAATTACCCAAGTGACACAAGCTAGTAAGTCAGCCAAAGCCACGTTCTGAGCAACAACAGAAATAGCAGCCCCCCTGATTGGCTGTCCTCTGGGTGCGGGGCACACTGTGGACCATGAATGCCCACCTTTTCTTCCGATCTTCATGGCCACCCTGGGAGTGGGGGCTATGAGGCTGAGGCCAGCTGAGAGGCTGGGCCTGCCTGGGTCACACACGGCAGCCACGGAGCCAGGGCCTTCAGAGCACACGTCCTGTGTGGCCGTGGCCGTGCTCTGTCCTCCAGGCCCCGGAAACAGTGGGCAGAGGGGTTGGGCAGAGGAGGATGGTGAACCAGTTGGACTGGTGGGGGCCTGGGTGGGGGGTGAAGGAGGCCACGAACAGCCAGAGGTTGATTTTCCCACTGAGACTGCCAGGGCATCAGGGCTTCATGTGGCCCTCCATGAGGTTGGCTCCCAGCTTCCCTGATGACTGATAACATGTCCTTTCTGCTTTCCGTCTGGGGACAAAAATCAGCCTTGACCTGACCGAAGGCCCTTATCCTTGCTGGGGCGGGGGGAGGGGGTGGTGGTGGAGGTGTTGCTCTGAGTGGAAAATTCTGAAGGGCCTAACTGGGCCTGCCCTTGGGGCAGGGTGGGGCTGGGTCAGGGGCATGGTGGCACCAGCCAAGGGGAGACTCCCCGAGAGAGTGGCCCTTGTCACCTCTCTGGCCATGTGCCCCGCCCAGTGACCTCCACCGCTCCTGCTGGATATCGGCCTGCATTCATTTCCTAGGGCTGCTGTAATACTCGATGGCCAAAAACAAGGCAGATGGATTCCCTTACAGTTTGGGAGGTCAGGAGTCTGAGACCAAGGTGCTGGCAGGGCTGATTGCTCCTGGAAGCTTCAGAGGAGAATCTGTTTCCGGGCGTTTTCCGTGCCTTTTCCGTGCCTTTTCCGGGGGCCACCTGCTCCCCTTGGCTCATGAGCCCTTTCTCACATCTTGCCCCTCTTGCTTCCTTTGTCACAACTCCTTCTCCCATCTGTAGCCAAATTTCCTGCCACTCTCTTAGAGGGGCTCTTGTGACTATATTTAGCGACCACCAGGATAATCCAGGATCATCTCCCCATCCCACATTCCCTAACTTAATCATATCTACTAAGTCCTTTTTTTTTTTTGCCACAGAAGGTAACGTGCTCAGGTTCCAGCAATGAGGATGTGGACATTTCTGGGGACTATGTTCAGCGACCCCAAGTCCCAGCGCCTTGCCTGGCATTAGAAGCCCCACCCTCCTCCTGATCTGTTTCTTGCCAACATCCCCTGACCCACACCCGCCCTCCACCCACTTCAGTCACAGCCAAAACAGACCACTCCGAGCCCAGGATCCCCAGGCACCCAGCAAGGATTTGCTATAAGCCCAGCCCTGCTTGGGGCATAGAAGTGAGCAGATCAGAGGCTGTCCTCCCTGAGGGATGTTATTCTAGGGCAGTGCTTCTCAAAGTGTGGGCCCCCAGCCAGCTGCAGGCTTCCAGAAGCAAAGTGGCCAGCGTTGGACCACATAGCCTCAAATCCAAGCAAGGATTCCCGTCTGAGCCTGTCTGACCCTAAAGCTTGGGGTCTTTCTACAGTAAAACACTGTCTGGACTTGAATTTAGTCCAGACTCGGTGCTAGTCCCATTGATACCAGATGAGGGAACTAAGATCACTGGGAAGCAAGTGACTTATCTGAGGCACAACGGCAAGCTCAGGAGGGGCCGGTAAACCCAGTACTTTGGACCCCTGCCCAGGGCTCTTGGGTCCTTTTTCCACACACTGGCTTGCTCTGGGTAATCTCCCAGGGCGGGGAGATAATATTCATAAGCACCTGGAGTATCAGCAGTCGCTCGTGGGCGTGGCATTTCCGCATTCCTGCAGAGCGCCTGGAGGCTGGAGCCAGAGATCAGGAAAGACCCTGGGAGAAGGGGTGCAAAGGGAGGCAAGGGGGCCCCCACCCCTCCAGCCAGCTTTCTCCTCAGAGGTCCCGTGGCAGCTGTCCACCCGAGCCCTCCTATCTGCTCTCCTTCTGCAGCCAGAGAGCAGGTTTCCACGTGGAAGTGGGACTATGCGCCGTCCCTCCTGATGCTCCCAAGTTCTTATCCTGACCTCCCAGGCCTTGTCCTCCACGCCCCCTGGCCTCAGCCCAGACTGTCTTATTCCTCTTGATGCATTCTGTGT